AAAATTAGGTTTCGTTGGTTCTGACATTGAACCATTTGGACAGGGCGGTTACGCTATCGGACTGCCTGTTGTGCAGGCCGAGGCCCCTGTAGCGGTCAAGGACGAGGAGTGGACAAAGACTATAGATGCGGGCATCTTGAGCTCCTTACCAGCAAGCGAAATCACTAGGCAGACGTACGTCCGCATGAAATAAACCACCAATCGCGATCTAACTTTTTCTATTTTTCTTTTCGCTACAGCGTCATACATCGACTCATCACCAGAGAGAAACAATATCTCTTAGACCTTGACCTTGTCGAGTCGGATTTCATCAAGCCTTTGCGAGCCGCAAACCCTCCGGTTTTGCCTATCGACCAAGTGGAGGATTTTATTGATGAGGTGTTCAGTAACATCCTTGACCTCCGGGAGTGCAATCGCCGCCTTTTAGAGGTGATGTACGTTCGCCAGCGAGAGGAAGGGCCGATCATTCTGCGCATTGGCGACATCTTCTTGGAGGCTGCCACTGAGTTCCGGTTCGCCTATCCGGCGTATATCGGACACTACCCATTGGCGGAGAAGAGGCTGAAGGAAGAAATGGAGACGAATCCCAACTTTAGGTTGTTCCTGGAGGTATGCTATTTTTTCCATTCCGGAATATCGATTTTCGTAACTGACAACTTGCTCGAAAGCAATGCGGTCGTCAGCAATCATCCCGCTCTGGCGAATCTCCACGGCTCGACCTAAAGCATTTCCTCAACCGTCCAGCTGAGCATCTTCAGAAGTACCATGTGCTTCTTGGGGCTGTCTTGGACGAAACGGCAAAGGGAAATCCAGACGCCGAGTTTTTGAAAGAGGCTATTGAGGCGATCAAGAGCCTGCAGTCGGTTGCTCAGCTGAGGACTTTCCAGTCGGCTATGGGGAAAGGAACGCCTGGAAAGTGGGAGTGGCATGATCTTGTTCCTGCGGATGTTCGAGAACATTTTACCAAGCAGGAGGGTAAACGACAATCGTGAGTTCGATAGTGGTCGTTGCTTTTCGTTGCTTCATGACTGAATTTTGTTTGCCAGCATCATATTTGAGTTGATCAAGGGAGAGATGGCGTATGTGAAGGATCTGGAAAACATGCAGCATGTACGTGTTGATTTCCCGTGCTATCCTAATGTAATTGACATGGATTTTACAGATTTACATCTTACCCTTGCGCAAAGCGGAGCCGCCTATCATCCCTCGGGACAGGCTTGATCAATTCATTGAAGATGTTTTCCACAACTATAGCCAGCTGTACGAGCATCACAAGAAGCTCGTGGACGAGCTGCATGAAATCCAACGAGAGCAACATCCTCGTATCAATACCATTACCGCGGCGATTTTCGATGCTGCACTCAATTTTAGGGATGCGTACATGGAGTATATTCCGAATTATCCCATCGCTGCGTATAGGATTGATGAAGAGATGGCCAACAATTTGCCGTTCAAGACCTTCGTTGACGTGAGTCGTCTACTTTTGATTTAGTTCCTTCGTTCTGACTGCATCGTTCTAGCAATGTGTTCGCCATCCCGACGCTCACCGCCTTGATATGAAGAATTTCATAAACAGGCCCATTCCTCGTTTGCTTCGTTACGAACTTCTTTTAAGGAATATCATGGAGGAGACGACTCCTGGGCATGAAGATCTGGACTCGATCCCAAATGTCATTGATGTGATCAAGGCGCTTGGGAAGGAGACGGAGCCTGTGGTGTTTTCGGCGAAGCAGAAAGTGGAGGTCTGGCGATACAATTCTGGTCTTGTGTTCAAGCCTGGAGAATCGATCGTGCGTGGTTTGGGGTTTAAATACAGTCTTGATTGGTGCTGATACTCTCTTTTTATTTCTTTTTTGATGATAGGACATGGATCTACTTGATGACAAGCGATCACTCATTCATTCAGGAAGATTGCTCAGGCAACCTGACAGTGGTCTTGAATGGAACGGATGGAGCGAACTTCACGTCCTTCTCTTTGACAATTATTGTAAGTAACGCTAATCTCTAATATTGCCAGCTACCTAATTTTACTTTATTGCAGTGGTGATGACGAAGCCTAAAGAAAAAGATGGTATAACCAAGTACCAAGTCAATCGTCGAGTGAGTCGCTTACCATTTCTTAATGGAAGGGATCGAAATTGACACGTTTTTAAAGCCCATCCCACTGGATCTGCTTACCCTTGTCAACTTTACTGACCCGCCAACCCAACGAAGCACAGGCATCCTCCGCAACTTACGAGGTGGCGAACGTCACGAACCAGGCAGTGCGAACCCAGGATTGTCCCCCGAGAGCGCTACCGACTCTCGCTTCGTCTATCCTCTTACTTTGCACCACAATGGTCGCACAGGTGGTCCGTATATCTTGTACGCGGAATCCTCTCAGATTCGTTCTGATGGCAGAAGAAGCTGGTGGATGCGCTTGGGCTGCGAAAGGCCATCCAGGACTCGAACAAGGTGTTTGAGGTGGAGTATTTGAGCAGAGATACGTTCATTATTCCTTCGATCGCTCAGGGCGCCAATGGACCGACGTGGAATCAGGATAGTCAGTTCACGGGTAAAGTGACGTGCTCGGTACCTTTCAGTCAGTCCCTTGTTTGTTTTTCTTTTTATCGTTGTGGACGCTCAATATGCCTTGCTTTGCAGACACTCCTGATGGACGTGCACTTGTTGCCATTGGTTGTACTGAAGGTGTTTGGATTGGATTCCGACATGATCCAAAATGTACGTTGACTCGAAAGCTATTAAAATCCTTGCATAATTTGTTTTCCCAGCCATTCGGCGAGTTCTTCATTTGAAGATGGTTACGCAATGCGCCATGCTCGAAGATTTCGGGATCTTCTTGGTGTTGGCTGATAAGGTTGGTTTAAATCTTACAGTCTGGGGTATTAGTTGGTCTAACCCTCAAATCCAGGCATTGTTTGCTTACCACATGGAAGCCCTCGTCCCATCGTCACCACATGGGGTACATACTTCACAAGTGCCACAAAAACTTAGCGGAACAAAGGACGTTCATTTCTTTAGTGTCGGGACGTTGCAAGGCCGCACACTGATCATCTACATGAAGAAAAAATCTGTAAACCTCTTTCTTTTTTTCCTGAGATACTTCAGCTGATATGTCGCCCTCAGCTGAACAGTATTTTCCGAGTTCTCGAACCGATTGGCGACAAGATTAATGAAGGAGTGAAAGCTCCTGCTGGTCTTGGCTCACGTCTTGGTTTCCGGTCAACCAAATCAGAATGGTTTAGGATCTACAGGGACTTCTTCTTGCCCTCTGACTCTTTCGACGTCATTTTCCTCAAGGCTAGGATAGCCATTTTCTGTGCCAAAGGATTTGAGATCATGAACCTTCACGAGTATGGTTGTTTTCTATCTTTACCGTAGGATTCTTTTGATGTGTCATTTCCAGCTTTGAGAGTATCACGATTCCTCAACGTGAAGACCCAAAGCATGCCCAATTTGCCAGACGATGTGAATCGTCACGACCTCTAGGGATGTTTCGATCTAGCGACGACGAGTTCCTACTATGCTATGATGGTATATATATATATGCTCCCTCGTTGCGACGTTGCTCTAACCTTGGTCAACAGAATTTGGCGTTTACGTTGACAAGCATGGAGATCCGTGTCGTTCATTTGGGACCATCGAATGGGAAGGCACAGCTGAACGTGTCGCTTTCCATTCGCCTTATATCCTCCTGTTCGACTCGCGCTTCATTGAAATTCGACACGTCGAGACAGGAAGACTGGCTCAAATCATTCCAGGAAACGAGATTCGCTGCACATGGGACGGTCGAGGTGTCAGCCTTCCGCCCAGTACGCCTGCGATAGAGGGAGCAGATGATCCACAAGAGGCACAGGTGCATTTCGTGATGAACAGCACCGATTCTGTGACTGGACCCGGAGGCATGCGATCAAGGAATATCGTACAGCATGTCTGCGAACTTATACCCACTGTGCCGCTTCCCATACCTGGGAGGCGACCACACTCGGATGCGACGATAGCATCTTACCCCCCCGTTGGCGCTCACCCACAAGAGCAGATGTATAACCCTTACGTACCGGCACCGACGGCGCCCACGCATATGTCGACACATTCTTATGGGTCATCATCGTACGGTTCTGGCCATACAGGGCAAGGGTATTCAAATGCACCGAGTCCCGTTCAAAATCCATACGCTCCTGGCTCAGGTCACCCTTCATATGCTCCTGGCCGTGCTCCTTCTTCCTATGGATATGCCCCAGCACCGGTACCTCCGAACGTGAATCCCATTCCAGGTGGGGGTGCGCACTACGCTCGAGCTGGATACTCGACAGCACCACCACGCTCGCCGGAGCTCCAACCTTCACAGTCATGGCGTTGAAGGGTTTTGAGAAGAAAACAAAAAATGGCTATCTTCTTTTTTCAGTACTTACCAGTATCCTCTTTGTTTCCATTTGTCAGAGTCGATATCGCATACGATTTTAGTAGTGTAATATTAGGAATTTTGTGTACAGCCCTTTTGCAGTACTATGGGATTGAGCAAACTTTACATACTTTTAATTTCTCAGCCAACATACTGAATTGAATCGGCTTTCCTGTATGGATCAACGATGCTGCCCGTCACTGAATCCTTATGGATATTGGCAATATAATCGCATACGTCAAGACATTTGAAGAAGATGTTTAGACCAATGTGCTTAGTAGATATGTGAAGGTGGTCATTAATTTGGATTCTACGCGCATAATATGGCCACATCTGCTTAATGTTGACGCTTACCCATCCATATCGTTTCAGAACAGTTTATTTTATGCGTTTACATTATGCGGTTGTGGAGATATCGAGCCTTGATTGAGCCCGGAAGATTGGGCGCGGAAGGTGCAAACGAGTCGTGACTGCGTCACGCGTTCCATCTTCCAAAACGGCAATCAACTCAAAATCCACGATACATCTTGAAAAAAAGAACACAATTCATGGAACTTGGGCTCAAAAAAATATATTTCTGGCTCAGGAAAAAAGATATCTGCCCCAGTGAGGCTCGAACTCACGACCTTCCGATTACGTAATCCCCGAGAGTTCGGGCCTTAACAGTCGGACGCTGTAACCAACTCAGCCATGGGGCACATATTTGTGTGTGACACAGCACCAACTTGAAGGGCTATCCTTCGCTTTTTTGACGCCCACGGCTGATGGCAATCAATCTCTTTCAATCTCTTGTTTTTCTACCATGACCCTTTCAGCTTTATCCCTCCCACATCGCGAAAGTTGAACGTGCATCTGAACTCAATGGCCTCAACACCAGCTAAACGTCCTCGAACGCCGTCCTCTTCATCGTTCGCTTCTCCCACATCGGATCCGCCACACAAAGCCTCTCGCGTCCTCCTCCAACCAACCTCCCCCACCTCCAATAGGACTTCATCCTCAACGTCCACTTCAAGTTTTGGGTCAGATTCCACCGTGAAACAAGGCCCGATCGCGGCAGCTGTACCACTCTTGTGCACATTAGCACCCACATGCCACCGACAACCGACCCCGATCGCGAACACAAATGAGCTGGAGAAGCACTATGCCACTTATCACGCACATGTTTGTGGACTGAAGACATGTGGGTGTGTCTTTCCAGATGCCAGGCTTTTAGAATTGGTGCGTTCTACTTTTCATTGTATTTTGCTTTCAAACTTATGGAGCGCTTATATTTTTCAGCATCAAACAGAATGCCATGACCCACTTTCGGCCCTCAGGAAGGAACGCGGGGAGAAGATTGTATGTTTTTGCCTCCATCGATCCCTAATTTATCCCGCTGAAGCCTCTGTTTGTAGTTTCAATGCCATGTAGCGGCGCCAACCTGCGGGCGTAACTTCCTAACTCCCAAAGCGCGAAGACTTCACCTTATTCAAGCTCACGAATTCCCCAAGGAATACTTCTTTGCTGTTACGAACAAAGGGATCGGAGGTTTATTGAAACGATGGGGCGAAGGGGCCAGTATGATCAGGAAAGAGTGGAAACCTAGAAATGGAGATGGAAAGGAAAGCCTTGATACCATGCGTTTCAGAGACGAGGATGATAAAATGGATGAAGACGAAGATGAAGAAGACGAGGATGAGGAAAGCGAAGAAGACGAGGAAGACGACGCCGACCTTGAGGCCACCCCCCGCATGCTTCCGCGTACCACTGGGATCCATTCTCCGCAGTCATCCGTCTCATCTTCTCAAAGCCAACGCCAGAAACACTCCAAGAATCCAAAGGAAGATCCAGGTGTAGCAGGTCTCGCAGACACCTTGGATTCTCTCTCACTCGTTCCCAACTCAGTGAGATTTGGCCGGGGAGGACATTCAGGCGGCTTTATACCCAATGTACATGGCGGTCGAGGTCGAGGTCGGGGCCGTGGCAGAGGTGGGTTTATTGCGAATCCAACAGGTTTGGGTCCACAACAGCCGGCTATGGACGTGGATGGCGCTCAACCCAGTACTAGGAAGGGGGGACGTGGAAGAAAGGTAGAAACTGAAACTCAAACGACACAAGATGGACCTCAAACTGGGTTTGACCCGGCGAGAGGGAGAGGTGGTGGTCGAGGCAGAGCGAGGGCTAGAGGGAGGGGCCGAGGTGGAAGAGGTGGCGGTCCTTAATGCGCGTGCTGACGATATATCTTCTTGCTCGGATCCAGGTTCATAAACGAGATCGATCTTTCGGGTGGATGGGATAGGTATTCTTTGGAAACTAAATGTAAAGGGATAGGAATATCTGCATTCTGTATAATAAGGAATGAAATATGTTTTCTAACATCTCCTCTTACATAAAATACCTTGAGCGCTAAAGCAATATCCAGCAAATGGTGCTTTGGTTTGATGACTCGGCTCGGGGAGTCAATGGACTCATTATGAATGTCCCCGTCCTTGAGGGCTCTTCGGGAACAAAGTTCGGATTGTAATATTACAGAAATTGTCCGTTTCGTCCGTCATAAAGTCAAAGAAGACATCTTGAATTAATCCCAGGGAATGAACATTACAGCCTTCCCTAGCCATAACTTTGGACCGCTCAAGGACCGCTATTCCCTGATTCCCCTGGAATCCTATTCGAGGCCCCTGACATGTCGACATGTACCTGACATGCGTCATAACCACCACTAAATTCCGCGGCCCGGTCAATGCCATCGCGATATGCAAGGCGACATGCGTCCTCATTGCGTGTTTAACGTTTACCTCTTGTCCACATACCACCACCGTTCTCGCAATTATCGAAAGACCTATCCCTAAACCTATGACGAACGATCAGACGCGCGATCAGACCTTGTCAACGGACCTCGTTTCCCCAGTCGTGCGAGACCATGAACATTGCGAGTACCAATACGTACAAGCCAATACACGCATATATCTAATCAGGTTGAATACTATGTTTCTAGTTAATTTCAGTGATTCAGACGTCACATTTTTATCATCCGATTTTGTCGCTTTCAAGCTGCATCGCAAATACCTCGAAGCAACTACAGGCGCCTTCCCGTCAGCAGAATTCGAAACTCAGGGCGAGCTTGTGCACCTCACAGAACCGTCCAATGTGCTGGAGGTTATGTTCCAATTTGTGTACCCAAGGCGCCATCCCAGGCTGGATAAACAGGATTTCAGCACATTTTTAGCCATTGCAGAGGCCGTTGAGAAATACGAGGTTTTCTCCGCTATGAATACCTGCGAAACCCGGATAATGTGAGCCATACTACTTGTTTAGATGGTTGGGAGACGACTCATCACTTATTTTTGTACAGTGGGTTTCTCCAAAAATCTCCCGATGACGCACCTGCGGTTCTCGCGCATGGTATCAAACACAATTACCCCATACTCATTAATGAGGCTGTACCTCATCTCTCTCGATTACCTCTGATCACGGTACTGGAGAAAATACCACCGCTGGGCGTCTTTCCTTGGGTAAATTCAATTGAAATCACCCCCCGATACAGCGTCCTCATCCACTCAATTTTAGATTCGCTACCAAGCCGCATGGGACGGTGCCTTCAGTTCCACAATAATGTACATCAAATCCATGAGAACAGGGCACAGGACCGTCTGCGATTATGACGAGATTTGCATCAACTGTCGGTCTGCTATGATCGCTCGCGTTTCAGAAATGGAACGGCTTACCAGCCTTGCGGCCTTGATGGACGCGACGGAGAGAGGCGATTGGGAGTTTCCGAATCATCCAATCTGCAGTAGTCATTGTTCCAAAAACACCTGCAGATATATGCCGAAAGTGATGACATTTCTTCAGAAAGGTATCACGGCGCTTCCTCCTTTCACGAGTTTTTTGTAGGGTCCAATCCAACAAGAGCTAAACTCTGTAAACCTTTCTCATTAAGTTTCTCCGGAAACAGTCAATAGGTAGAATGATCAAGACGCACCTTTTGGTTGTTGCCCCAATTGACATCAATTAATCATGATGAGAGAAACCTCGGCGCTGTAATTTGAGGGAAGGGGGGAGTTGGAAGGGGGCATTGGAATTGAACACATTCCGAACTCGAGGAAAGGTTTCTATCATTCTACTGTATACACCTCTGGTGACTGACCCAAGACCTTGGGCGCTTATCTCAGATCATGGCTTGGCAGATGATGGACATTGAATTTTTGCGCCTTTATAATCCCTTAAAATCCTGTTTCGACTGGAGACGGTTGCATATCTTATTTTGTTTACTGATTTCATGAATCGGGTTAGAATGAGCAAGTGAGCGATACACGAGGACATCGTGTGCACGCGGCGGGTGGGAAAATGTTGCTCATCGGCACGAGGCTGGGGAGCATTTTATCTTGGACTGTACAGTTGATCCCCGACTCTGTCCTAGTGCATCTCGCGGCTGACTTCAAACATGAGTGACTCTGCCGATGGTTCCAGGACCTTAACCACACATCCTGAATGCGAGTACTACTCGCTTGAACCTCAGACCTTTACGCTGATCATCTTTGATATAGACGAAAGTGCGAAGGACACCGATGTCATCATCCAATCCTCAGATGGGGTGATATTTAACCTTCATTGGAAATATCTCCAGTTGTATCCTGGTTTCGTGCGTGATGTCGATGATGGTTCTCAGCCCAACGAGGAAAAGGAGAAGATGGACCTCGACGAGCCATCCGACGTCCTTGAAATCTTGTTCCAGTTCGTCTATCCGAAGAGGCACCCATCCCTCGAGGACATTGACTTTGAGACCCTGGCCGCGGTCGCTGAAGCGGTGGAGAAATACCAGGTGTTTTCGGCAATGAACTTATGCGCATTGCGCTTGGAGTGAGCTTCGTCGGGCGGGGAGTCGCATGCTAAATTGCTAATGCTGGATTCCTCCCAGGAGATTCCTACCCTGTGAACAACATGCCACCAGAATACTCATCTATTCGACCAAGTACAATTATACTAAATTGGCCAACGAGGCTGCATTGTCTCTTTGCCGAAAACCTGACCTCGAGGTGGTCAAGCAGTTGCCTGCTGCAATGATTATGCCCTGGGTATGTTACCATTTCACATTCCGGTTACCTTACTTCCGACAAACGTGAATTAATCAACGGTTTTACTGCATCTTGTAGCTAACATACCGTAGCGCTTGGAAGGCATTATTTGACGCTCGACTACAGAAGACCATGGAGCGTTGCGTCGTCAGCATCCGTTGTTCAAGTACCACGTTTAGAGTGGAATCTAGCATCTCGATCTGCGCATTTTGTACAACCTCAACCCTTGCGTGGTTCCAATTTCTGGAAAATCTTGATAGACTCTCCGATCTGAAGTCCTCATTAATAGCCCTTATGGACGAGAGAAACCTGCCCAGCCAATATCAACTACATTCCTATCGATTTGGAAAGTCGAACTTCGCCAAATTTTCTAACGCAATAAAAGGCGGATGCGACCAATGTTTGTCAAGGTGTCAGCACATGTCCAGTGAATTGGAGGAACTGAGCAAGGACATCGAGGCAATCCCCCCGTTTACGGAATTCCTCAAGAGTTATTAAGGTATGGATGCCTCTTCACCCTTTCCAATATGCAATTTAACCTAGTGTTGACTGGCCCCACCTAGTACTGAGCATTCCCTGCTTTCAGCTATGGCCGATAAGTAGGGTAGCAAATAGGTTACTGTAGCTCAAGTCAAATTCCCGGC